GTTAGGGTTTAGGGGTTGGGGTGTAGGGATTCGGGTTGAGGGCCTAGGACTTAGGGTTTGGGGTTTACAGGGTTTAGGGTTTAAGAGTTTAGAGGGTTTAGGGAGCTTTTGGGATTATCCTGGCCGTTTGTCGGCTTAGAGTTTATCAAGGGCTCGCTTGGTTTTCGTTTAGTCTTCAGTAGGGGCCTTTTTCGGGAACTAGGCGTCAGCCTCTAGGCGACTTGGAGGTTCATGGCCCTAAACCCTAAACCCTAAACCCTAAACCCTACACCCTAAACCCTAAACCCTAAACCCTAAACCCAGTAATCACGGTCCTTGTAGCCAAATTATCACCCTACTGGGGTACTTAAGGGGCTTTTTGTGGGTGGGATATGAACACGCTTCTCAGGGGTTTCGAAGTACCTTGGACCTTCAAGTAGGGTTTTGGGGCTCAGGGTTTTTCTTCAGGGCGGTGTCCCAAGGCGGGGTAGATAGCCTCGCCTAGGTCCAAAAAACCCGAACTTCATGTCTAACCTAAGCTTTGCAGACACACTCCAAACCCCTAAACCCGAAACCCTAAACCCTAAACCCTAAACCCTAAACCCTGAACCCCAAACCCTAAACCCTAAACCCTGAACCCTAAACTCTAAACCGCGCCCGATCTTCGCACAGATTCTGTCGGGACTGGTCTAACACCTACGTGGAGGGACGCCTGCGGTCCAATTGCATAGGACGTAAGCATTTGGCATGGCGGAGGTTCAATGGTTCGCAGCTCAGAAGCACGGTTTAGGGTTTAGGGTTTAGGGTTTAGGGTTTAGGGTTTAGGGTTTAGGGTTTGCGTCGTGCTGGCCAGGGTCTCGCGATTTACTGTTTAAGGTGTGCAGGTCAACGGGACGCTACTCAGCCCCAACCTCACAACCTCAAGACCCCATGCGCAGGGTGATGCTTTACAGCCAGCAGTCGGCTAAAAGTCGCCCCCTAAGAACAACCCTCAACCCCGAACCCCGAAACACCTAAGCCCCAAACGCTAATCCCTAAACCCTAAACCTAACCCTAAACCCTAAACCCTAAACCCTAAACCCTAAACCCTAAACCCTAAACCCTAAACCCTAAACCCTAAACCCTAAACCCTAAACCCTAAACCCTAAACCCTAAACCCCAAACCCTAAACCCTAAACCCTAAACCCTAAACCCCAGACCAGCTTAACTCTCAGAGCCTCCAAGCTCTGGATTCGGCTCTCAAGGCGAGCACGTTGCTCCCCAATCCTGGGGCATATAGGGCTATATGGTTCTTAAGGGGTTCAACAGGGCTATGTAACCCAAGCTTGCCTGATAATCCCTTCCCCCCCCATATAAAAGGCCCCCCCCCCACCCCTCCCTTGTATAAAAACCCCCAACGGTTTTTTTGTATTAGGGGGTTGGGGGGCGGGGGGGAATTCTTATCGTTTGTCCGAAAAACCCGGCAGTGTTTAGGGTTTAGGTATACCTAGACCCAAAACCCTGAACCCTTAATAAGTCCAGGTGGCTCTTTGGCAGTGCGGCTCTGCGCAAGCAGAAGCCGCTCGTCCAGTCGCTTGTGACGCTCCACAAGCTCCTGCTGAAGTGGGCACTGGGGCTGGTTTAGGGTTATAGAGGGTTAGGGTTTAGGGCTAGGGTTTAGGGTTTAGGGTTTGGGGTTTAGGGTTTAGGGTTTAGGGTTTAGGGTTTGGGGTTTGGGGTTTGGGGTTTGGGGTTTGGGGTTTGGGGTTTGGGGTTTGGGGTTTGGGGTTTGGGGTTTGGGGTTTGGGGTTTGGGGTTTGGGGTTTGGGGTTTGGGGTTTGGGGTTTGGGGTTTGGGGTTTGGGGTGTGGGGTTTGGGGTTTGGGGTTGGGGGTTTGGGGTTTGGGGTTTGGGGTTTGGGGTTTGGGGTTTGGGGTTTGGGGTTTGGGGTTTGGGGTTTGGGGTTTGGGATTTGGGGTTTGGGCTTCGAGTTTAGGGTTATAAGGTCCAGGGATGGTCACTGGGGCATAACCAAAGGGACCAAATACCCCCTTACTTAAGGAAGATACCTTAATTTGGAATAGGGATCCTTGATATGATTTAAGTAGGGTTTAGGGTTTAGGGTTTGGGGTTTGGGGTTTTGGGTTTAGGGTATATTCCTTGGCTGACTTCTGAACCCCTCGTAAAAGTTTAACCCTTATTGTGGTTGCTTCAAAAGCCCAAAGGGTTAAAGTCCTAAGAGCCAGGTTAAAGTCCTAAGAGTTTCTTTAAGGAGGGGTTTCCTAAAACACTAAAATCCGAACCCTCCACCCTACACCCTAAACCCCTAACCCCTAAACCCTAAACCCTAGAAGAATGGCCCTTTTGGTTTGGTTGGGGGGGGGGGGGGGGGGTTGGGGCTATTTGTGTACATGCTTTGGGGGTCCAGGTAGGGTTAGGAACATAGATCCCCAAAACCCCCCAAACCCCCAAACCCCTTAACCCTAAAGCCCTAAACCCTCCTAAACCCCTAACACCCCTACACCCCTAAACCCCTAAAACCCCTAAACCCCTAGAACCCCTGAACCCCTAAACCCATAGAACCCCTAAACCCTAAACCTCTAAACCCTAAACCCCTAAAACCCCCAAAAACCCCTGAACCCCTAAACCCCTAAACCCTAAACCCGTAAAACCCTAAACCCCTAAACCCCTAAACCCCTAAACCCCTAAACCCCTAAACCCCTAAACCCCTAAACCCCTAAACCCCTAAACCCCTAAACCCCTAAACCCCCTAAACCCCCTACACCCCTAAACCCCCAAAAACCCTAAAACCCTAACCCCTAAACCCATCTCCCTAAACCCTAGTCCCTAATCCCTAAACCCTAAACCCTAAACCCTAACCCTAAACCCATCTCCTCGCGCAGGAGCTCGAGGTCCCGCTTGGCTGCCTCCCCCGCAGCGGTCGCCAGCTCCCGGGTCATCCTCCCCTGCTCGATGGCCTGGGTTTTAGGGTTTAGGGTTTAGGGTTTAGGGGTTTAGGGTTTAGGGGTTTTAGGGGTTTTAGGGGTTTAGGGTTTAGGGTTTTAGGGGTTTAGGGGTTTAGGGTTTAGGGTTTAGGGTTTAGGGTTTTAGGGTTTAGGGTTTAGGGTGTAGGGGTGTAGGGTTTAGAGTTTAGGGTTTAGGGCTTAGAGGGGAGGATTCGGACTGTAGCTACTATCACTTCCACCAGGTTGCCCGGTAGCCTATAATTAAAACGGGTACCCATTTGTTGTTTAAAGGCGTTTATGAAGGGAACCCAAACCCCCAACAAAGCTACTTGCTGCAGTGAAAAGTACCAATGCTGTTACTTTAGAAACTATGATCTAGGCAGGGTTTTTGGTTTTGGGTCATGAATGCAGTGGTGCTACATGGTGAAAACTACCGTTAGGCTTGTGAACACTTGCTACTGATTGTTTATTCCTACTTGGAGGTTAATGGTACTTGATCCAACTATAGCTGTACTTACAACTATTAGGGTACATAAGGGGCTTATATATTTGGGTTCTAACCACACTCATAACGGGTTCCCCTCAACCCTAAACCCTGAACCTCCAAGTAGTATGAGTGGTATGCTACACATGTATGACCCCTGGTTTGCGGTTTGAGATCACCAGACCCGAGCGCAACCTGGGAATAGAATGGGCGATGCAGCTGTCCTTAAGGGGTATAAGCAGGGACCCGTAGAGACCCTTCATCTTATATTCCCCATATGACCCCCATATCCTATATTACCCTTACATATACCTTGTAGTCATTATACCACCCTGATGTAGTCCGTATATCCGTATATAACTTCTATACCGCCCTTTATATATACACACCTTCTATGGTCCAATTGCACCCAAGTTGCCCCTCACTACTCCCAAAAAAGTCCCCAAGGTCCTTTACTCTTGGGTCTAGCCCTAAACCCTAAACCCTAAACCCTAAAACCCTTGGTGTCCTGGTGCTGGTGGCGCTCGGCCATGGCAGCCAGCTGGTCCTGCACTGCATCTAAGCCGATGCCCAAGAGCAGCCTAGGAATAAAAGAGGGTTAGGGTTTAGGCTTTAGGGTTCAGGGTTTAGGGTTTAGGGTTTAGGGTTTAGGGTTTAGGGTTTAGGGTTTAGGGCTAAGGGTATAGGGTTCATGGCTAGGGTCTAGGGTCTAGGGTTTAGGATTTTGGGTGTAGGGTTTAGGGTTTAGGGCCAAGAGTAACCTAGGAAAAAAGAGGTGCCCTTTTGGCAATGCAGCAGGCATGAAAGCGCCCCAGTTGAGTGCACGAACCAACTACGCATGAAGATGCGACTCAGTAGCACATATGCTGAACCCTGGCCCTGAACCCTACATGCCCAGTCCCTAAACCCCAAAACCTAAACCTCAACCCTAAACCCTAAACCCTAAACCTCAACCCTAAACCATGTGCACCCCTCCTGCGATGAGCTTCTGTGACTAACAGCCCCGCCCCTGTCTTGCTTGACTTTTCAAGTTTCCTGCGGCTGAGATGGCCTCTGTGTGTAGTTTAGGGTTTAGGGTTTAGGGTTTAGGGTTTAGGGTTTAGGGTTTAGGGTTTAGGGTTTAGGGTTTAGGGTTTAGGGTTTAGGGTTTAGGGGTATTGAGGGTTTGTAGGGCGTGATGTTTGATTCGGCTTCAGCATAAAACTTGATGAGTACATCGTTGCTGGTGCCAAGACAATCAGAGATGCTTAAACCCTAAACCCTAAACCCTAAACCCTAAACCCCAAACCCTTCATTTAGGGCATCTTGAGCGGGTTCCCTGATCAGCTTCTCCGCAAGTGCTCTGCAAAGTGCGGCCCTCATCCCTAAACCCTCTGGGTGAGGTTTTAGGGTTTAGGGTTTAGGGTTTAGGGTTTAGGGTTTAGGGTTTAGGGTTTAGGGTTTAGGGTTTAGGGTTTAGGGTGTATTCGTTATTGGGGCTTAGGGTTTAGGGTTTAGGGTTTAAGGTTTAGGGCTACCCCAAACTGCTCCCCGCCTCCACCTGCGCCCCCAGGAGGCTCAGCGCCTCCTGGCGGAGGCGCTGCTCCTCGAGGTCGCGCCGGGCCTCCTCCTGCTTTTAGGGCTTTCTTTGGTTTAGGGTTTAGGGTTTAGGGTTCAGGGTTTAGGGTTTAGGGTTTAGGGTTTAGGGTTTAGGGTTTAGGGTTTAGGGTTTAGGGTTTAGGGTTAAAGGCTTATGGGGTCTAGGGGTTTTGGGATTTGGGGTTTTGGGAAGCCTTAACAACCCAACATGCAGGGGTTTGCAGGTTCAGGGTACTCAGAACCCCCCCCCCCCCTTTGGGGTTTAGGGTTTAGGGTTTAGGGTTTAGGGTTTAGGGTTTAGGGTTTAGGGTTTAGGGTTTAGGGTTTAGGGTGTACGGGAACCCATTAGAAGTGTAGTTATAACCCACATATAATATGACCCAGTATCCTAATGGGGTTATAATTGGGTTATGAGTACAGTTCGAACTGGTACTAGGTACCATGAAGCTCCATGTGCCCCAATACCCCTAATACTAAATACTCCGATTATCGTATATCCAGGGGAATTCAATCCTACTAGGGGGTGGGGGGGGGGGGTTAATATGAGGCGGGTGGGTATTGGGGGGGGGGGGGTGGGTTAATATTAGGGGGAGTGGATGATCAGAGCCTCCACGGTCGGCCTGGTTGGTGTGGGGTTTGGGGCATTTCGGGGGGGTGTCAAATGCCATGCTTCTGGGTCCTTTGGGAGTCCTGGTAGCTTTCCCGCAAACCCTGAATCCTAAGACTTCTAAACCCTAAACCCTAAACCCTAAACCCTAAACCCTAAACCCTAAACCCTAAACCCTAAACCCTAAACCCCTTGAAGAGTCCTCCAGCTCAGCGCCGAGGCGGCCCTCAGCCTCCTTCCTCTGCCGCTGCTCCTCCGCAAGGTCTCGCCGGATCTCCTCCTGGAGGACTAGTAGGGGATCGGTTTAGGGTTTAGGGTTTAGGGTTTAGGGTTTAGGGTTTAGGGATTAGGGATTAGGGTTTAGGGATTTTATAGGGTTTAGGGATTAGGGTTTAGGGTTTAGGGTGGGTTGTAACAATGGGCCCTTAGTATGGGCCCTTACCTTACCCTTGCTTAAAGGGATTTAAACGGCTCCCTTGTTTTGTACAGCACTTGGAAGGGTTTTAGAGCAGGGGACCCAAATTAAGGCCCATACTTCGGATCGCCTCCTGGAGGACTTGCGGTGGTTTTCGGGTTTAGGGTTTAGGGTTTGGGGTTTAGGGATTAAATCTCCCTTCGCCATAAACTCCAATATAACTAAGATGGGAGTATCTTTATATTAGGGGGCACTTGGAGGTTCATGGTACTTAGCAACCCAATTATCACTGTACTTCTAACCCAATTAGAACCCTATCAGGGTACTCAAGGGGCTTATATGTGTCAGAACCACACTTCTAATGGGTTCCCCTAAACCCTGAACCCTAAACCCTAAACCCTAAACCCTAAACCCTAAACCCTAAACCGGGCCGGCCTGGGCTCGGCGCTGCTCTTGCTGAAGCTCGCGCACCTGAGGGGTTAGGGTTTAATGTTTAATCTTTACCGTTTACCGTTTAGTTTTAACCTTAAACCCTAAACCCTAAACCCTAAACCCTGAACCCTGAACCCTAAACCCTAAACCCTAAACCCTAAACCCTAAACCCTAAACCCTAAACCCTAAACCCTAAACCCTAAACCCTAAACCCTAACCCCCCCTCCTTGTAACCCAGCTTTAGTATGGTAAGGGAGCCCCTCCCTGGGGTTTAGGGTTCAAGAGTCGAGGGAGTTCGAAAACTGTAGGTGCTGACAAAGACGGCTTTCGGTTTGGGGCAGATGCTGCTCGAAATCAGATGGTTTGTTATACCCGACAGAAACCTGCAGCCCCCAGCCGGCATAAACGCAAGCATCCCTAAGCCCCAAACCCAAACCCGCACCATAAGCGTTAAAGCCAAAGCCTAAACTCTAAACCCTACGCCCTAAACTCTACACCCTAAACACGAAACCGCAAAACCCTAATTAACACTAAACCCCAAACTGAACCTCCCTCCTCAACTAGACCCAAGAGTAACCTACTAGTAACCCAAAACCCTTAAACCCTAAACCCCAAAAAAACAGAACCTCCCTCCTCAAAGAGGGCACCTGTGTGAGGTTTCCTGCCGCCTCGCTCGCCGCATCGTGGATCTTTGCCACTTCGCCAGCGAGGCGCTCCTGTTCGTGGCCGCAGCCTGGCCAGAGGCAGAGCACACAGGAGGTTGAGGTTAAGGGTTTAGGGTTGAGGGTTCAGGGTTCAGGGTTTAATTAGGGTTTAGGGCCTAGGGACGACCAAAGTTCTAGATCTCTCCGTTCGTAGGTCTAAATCCCGGGTCTTGTTTGTGGGTCTCTATATTGCATTCCACCATTCCCTGTGCTTACAGCAACACCAAAACTGGATGCATATGTTTTGATCCAACAACCACCCCACACCCTCAACCCGAAGCCAATTTTGAGCCCCCAAATTCGGGTTTAGGGCTCTGAACAAAAACAGCTGTCACCTAGACCCTGACATTCTGTCATTTTCTCAGCTTGTCTGGGAGCCCTGCATCTGGGATGTGTAACAACCGTTCCAAAACCCTGTAAGAGGCCGCCTTTACAGGCCAGGAAGAAACCCAGTGGGAGAAAACGCCCTCGGCGCGGCCCAGAAAGGCCGAAGGGAGTAAGAGGAACCCTCGGAACGAACTCCCCTCTGCGACCTCAGAGTTTAAGCGGTGTGTGCAGTAAACATGCGCGACGAGAAACGCAGTAAGGAGCTTGGAAGCTGCACCCCTTCCAAGCTCTGGTCAAAGCAGCCGCCGAAGGTCAAGGTCTGTAGGCCGCTGGGAATCTCCACCCCTGCCAAGCTCTGGTTGAACATATGCCCGAAGGTCAAGGTCAGCAGCGCGCTGGGAAGCGGCACCCCTTCCAAGCTCTGGTCGAAATCAAAGCCGAAGGTCAAGGTCTGTAGGCCGCTGGGAAGCTGCACCCCTGCCAAGCTCTGGTTGAAACGATAGCCGAAGGTCAAGGTCTGTAGGCAGCTGGGAAGCTGCACCCCAACCAAGTTCTGGTTGAAAGAATAGCCGAATGCCAAGGTCTGTAGGCTGCTGGGAAGCTGCACCCCTTCCAAGCTCTGGTCGAAAGAATTGCCGAAGGTCAGGTTCAGTAGGCCGCTGGGAAGCTGCACCCCTTCCAAGCTCTGGTTGAAGTACACGCCGAAGGTCAGGGTGTGCAGGCCGCTGGGAAGCTGCACACCTTCCAAGCTCTGGTTGAACAAATTGCCGAATGTCAAGGTCTGTAGGCCGCTGGGAAGCTGCACCCCTTCCAAGCTTTGGTCGAAGTCCACGCCTTCCAAGATCTGGTCGAACTCCTCGCCGAAGGTCAAGGTCTGTAGGCCGCTGGGAATCTCCACCCCTGCCAAGCTCTGGTTGAACAAATCCCCGAAGGTCAAGGTCAGTAGCGCGCTGGGAAGCGGCACCCCTTCCAAGCTCTGGTCGAAATCAAAGCCGAAGGTCAAGGTCTGTAGGCCGCTGGGAAGCTGCACCCCTGCCAAGCTCTGGTTGAAACGATAGCCGAAGGTCAGGGTCTGTAGGGCGCTGGGAAGCTGCACCCCTTCCAAGCTCTGGTTGAAACCAATGCCGAAGGTCAAGGTCTGTAGGCCGCTGGGAAGCTGCACCCCTTCCAAGCTCTGGTTGAATCTGTGGCCGAAGGTCAAGGTCTGAAGGCCGCTGGGAAGCTGCACCCCTTCCAAACTCTGCTTAAACTCATCGCCGAAGGTCAAGGTCCGAAGGCTGCTGGGAAGCTGCACCCCTGCCAAGCTCTGGTTGAACAAATTGGGGAGAGTCAAGGTCTGTAGGCCGCTGGGAAGCTGCACCCCTTCAAAGCTCTGGTTGAAACCATGACCGAAGGTCAAAGTCTGTAGGCCGCTGGGAAGCTGCACCCCTTCCAAGCTCTGGTCGAACTCCTCGCCGAAGGTCAAGGTTTGTAGGCCACTGGGAAACTGCACCCCTTCCAAGCTCTGGTCGAAATGACGGCCCAAGGTCAAGGTCTGTAGGCCGCTGGGAAGCTGCAGCCCTTCCAAGCTCTGGTTGAACAAATCCCCGAAGGTCAAGGTCAGTAGCGCGCTGGGAAGCGGCACCTCTTCCAAGCTCTGGTTGAAGGACATGCCGAAGGTCAAGGTCTGTAGGCCGCTGGGAAGCTGCACCCCTTCCAAGCTCTGGTTGAAATATGGACCGAAAGTTAAGTTTTGTAGCCCGCTGGGAAGCTGCACCCCTTCCAAGCTCTGTTTGAAACCATGACCGAAGGTCAAAGTCTGTAGGCCGCTGGGAAGCTGCACCCCTTCCAAGCTCTGGTCAAACTCCTCGCCGAAGGTCAAGGTCTGTAGGCCGCTAGGAAACTGCACCCCTTCCAAGCTCTGGTTGAATTTACAGCCGAAGGTCAAGGCAACAACGACATCCATGGCATCCGTGTCTGGATCCAATCCTGACTTCTCTAATGCTCGCGCTATGCTGCGTGCCGCGCAGCCTGCGCCATATTTCCGCACCACATATGTGAGCTCTTGGTTTTGAGTTTGTCGCAGCAGCGGCTGGTGCAGTTCGAGGAGACGCTCACCTGAAGTCAGCACAATCGACCCTGCCGAAAGGCCAACACCTGCTGCGACGCGTCTCCGCACATCCAGCCCCGTTTCCTCATCGCCCACACGGAGCTCAAATGTCGACCCGGCAACACTGTGGATGGTCAACGCCCACATGCTGGCGTCTCCGCAGCGGCAAGCCTTGACGAATAATGGTGCACAAGTGCGTGGAAACGTCGTTCACTTACGAATTCTGAACCGAGAAATTCAGAGAGCTGTGGAACTATTTGACTGCAAACTTCAATTGACTAACTAAACTGTACATCGACTCTTTGGGATTCAAGCCGCAAGGTGAAGGGTGGCAGAGAGCCCTTCGAATCTCAGATTCCTAAACCCTAAACCCTAAACCCTAAACCCTAAACCCTAAACCCAAGTAGCCGGATTCAGAGTCCCTTGTGGTCTTTCCGGGGAACTCGGGGTGATGGGGGTTAAGATTTTGAGCTTTTCGTGGTTCAGGGCCCTAAACCCTACACCGTACACCCTAAACCCTAACCCCTACTTCGCATGTTGCAGGATGCGCGGTCTTTGGAGGGTTAAGGGGTACAAGGACGGATACCTAGAAGGTAGCCTTATTCCCCTAAACCCTAAACCCTAAACCCTAATCCCTAGACCCTAAACCCCAAACCCTAAACCATATTTGATTATTTATTTATTTACACCCTAGATATACCTCAATATAACCCCTATCTACCTACATAACCCCGAATGACCCCTAAGGTCCCTTGAAAAGGGCCCCTCCTGTAGTCCCTTGAGCTGCACCATTTGCTTAAGAACGCCCATAAGAATCAAACACAAAAATCCCTATATTACCCTAAACCCTAAACCCTAAACCCTAAACCCGGTTCTGAAGCAAATATTACTGATGAGGGGGTTTACGAACTCTTGTCCCATGTCGGAGACAGGGGGCTTCAAGGACCCAGGGTGATGTGGAAGAAGTTAGGGTTGCTCAAGAGTTTTTGGCTTGAGGGCTGATAGGGTTTGGGGTTTACAGGCTTGAAGGTTAAGCTTTAGGGTTTAGGGTTTAGCAACCCTAGAGCCTAAACCCGAAACCCCAAAGCCTAAAGGCGTTGTGCTTCTTGGTTTTGGCAGCTTAGAGGCTTCTATAGCATAGTAGAGGGGCCTTACTAATTAGAACAGGGCTTGTGGGGTCATTAGAGTTGACTTCTAAAGGGACCATAAGGGAATACTTTTCCCAGAGGGTCCATGTGTAGTACCATGATGGAATTAGGTACCCAAAAACAATACAAAATGGGTTTTGGGGTACCTAAACCTATAGTAGTACTACAAGTGGATCCTCTGGGGCCTAAACCCTAAACCCTAAACCCTAAACCCTAAACCCCAAACCCTAATTGGGTCAAGTATGGCGTGCTCTCTTATACACCCTCCTAAACCCTAAACCCTAAATCCTAAACCCCAAACCCTAAACCCCAAACCCAGACCCAAAACCCAAAACCCTAAATCCTAGACCCCAAACCCTAAATCCTAAACCCCAAACCCCAAACCCTAAATCCTAAACCCTAAACCCCAAACCCTAAATCCTAAACCCCAAACCCTAAACCCCAAATCCTAAACCCCAAACCCCAAACCCTAAACCCTAAACCCCGAACCCTAGAGCTGGCCTAAGATGCTGGTGGTGACGCCAGAAAGCTGCTCCTCCAGTGCTCGATGGCCATCCCCCATGGAACGCAGGCGCTCCTCGCGAGCGTTTTTTTGGGTTTAGGGTTTAGGGTTTAGGGTTTAGGTGTGCAAAGTTTAGGGCTTAGGGCTATGTAGGGTGCAGGATAGAATCAAGGCCCAAGAGAAACCTAGGAATGAACAAGGGCACGATTTGGGTGGCAAAGTGAATGGGAGAACCTAGACCTGAAAAAAGGGCAACAAAAGGGCTTACTCTGGGTCCTAGCAAGTCATACGAGGTGTATGGGGTGCTTGGGATGTACACGGGTTGGTTGGCCCTAAACCCTAAACCCCAAACCCTAAACCCTAAACCCTAAACCCTAAACCCGAGGCTTTTGGGACGTTGAGTTGTTGAGCTTGGCTTCGGTACATGTCTCGGCAGAACTTCACAGGGAGCACCTTTGGGCCTAGATGAACCCAAACATGGGGGTTTGGGGGTGGGGGGGGGTTTAGGGTTCAGGGTTCAGGGTTTAGGGTTTAGGGTTTAGGATCTAGGGTTTATAGGGTTTAGGGTTTAGGGTCATCATCTAGAGAACATGGGGGATCATCATCTTAGTTGCTGAGATCATAAGCGCCCCCCCCCCCCAAAGAGTGTACACTTTCAGCTCTATACGGGGAGTATCCCACAAAGTGTAAAGTGTACTCACTCAGCTACTAAGTCATATAGGGTGCCTTACTGACTGGCCCAAAAACCTAGGAAATAAAAAGCTGAAACTTTCAGAATAAACTAGCTTATAAGAAGCTCAAAAGTTGAAAAGTTGGGTTTTGAGCCAGTAAGCTTAAATAACATAAAAGAGTCTCGGCAACGAGATGCACATCCGAGGGGCCACAAGTGCTAAGCAGCAGGGTTGTTACTTGGCTGCACATAGGAGGGTAGCAAAAAACTCAACTTTTAGCTGCCTTATTAAGAAACCCAATAAACCCAAAAAGGCTAAAGATGTAAAGTTACAGTAAAGCACCACAAAGGTTAGTTACACTGCTGCAGCGCATGCGCAGTCGTCACTGCGCCGGAAACGGCGACGGAAGCAATTCGGGCAGGAGTATTCCGAGCATCGGAAGATGCAATAATGAATCAAGATAGCATTTAGGGAACAGTTTCAGGGCTTAAATTTGGCATGTTCCCCGTTATACTAACAGCCCTTCATCCCTGTAATAGGGGGGGGGGGGAGGGGGGTACTCTAATCCCTACTAGGGGACTATTAGCATAAGGGGGAGCGCTGGGAGCATCTCAAGTTTA